GAGAGACGGCGATTATCAAAGTGACACCCAATATTAATATATACAGCACTTTGTTGTGCTATTGCACTGTCAAGACTAAACAAAATGAAGGAACAGTTCCGATTTACAAATATGCCGACGTTTTGCTTCAGCGGATCGTCTGTATTCACTGTAAGTATATGGAGCAGTGAGACGTATGCGCTGGAATAAGCGAATTACGCAAATACCATTCATCCCATCTCGATAACACTGACAGCTGAATTCGTGACAATTTTCTCTACGATCGTCATCTATTATATGTGTATAATGCTTAAGAATGGGCATAATGGCAGCACAAAAGCGGTAAGAGGAAGAGCGAAAGTATAGCAACAGCTCTGAGACCAGGGGAGTCACGTGACGCATGGCTACCAATGGCATTGCACCAATGCTTTGTCTATGGACAAATATAAATGTCGATTATAAAAAAATCATAACAGATATCAAGATGATTTTTGCACCATTAGTAGCTGAACGTCTCACGAGGTGAATAAAGTTGAAATGGCACTTCTAGCCCAACGTATGCCGGAGATATTAAGCTTCCAATTTTGCCCCATTCATTTCCAATGGGGAAATTTCTGTAAAAAAAGCTAAATAGCTTAAAAAGTATAAATGTTACAGACAATAAAAATACAAGCACACATGTCCTTAAGGAGATACACAGTGTGATACCTCAATGGCCCTTGTAGGTGAAAGTATGCTGCATGAATTAGATGCCGAAGAACAGTGGTAGAAACCAGAATAATAATAACTAGAGAAATGCATTTCCTGCCGAAAATGCGTGTGGATGCGAATTGCTGAAAGATCGCCCTGAATATGCCGAAGACTTTGACACCTGAATGGTTTTGCTAGCTGAAAGTATGCTGAAGTAGAATTTCCCCATTCTTTTGAATGGTGCAAAACTATAAAAAAAAAAAAAAGAGTGTGAATGCTCGCATCCACACTAATAATAAAAAAACTGCATAACATAGTGTGGATGCTTATGCATCCATACAATAATACTGCCTCTTCCTAAAAACAAGAAGATACTTTGTGAACGCACACAACTCCTGATGTCAGTGTGGTGTTGCAAGTGGACAACATGACAAACCACAACAACATTTATTAATGTGAATGTCTCCTCCATAGACAGGTAAACAGCAGTATATGTTCCGATGAAAAAAGATGTGACACTAAACAAAGCGGGTAGTTGAGATACCCCATATTTTAACTGGCATAATGCAGACATAGTAACTTCTCCAGGTAGAAGCATCTCCCCTGACACTATACACCTACGTAAGCCCAAGTTACACTAATGCATTCTATACTGATTATTTGTATATTGTGTTTACTGTGTTTGTGCTAATTTATGATCATATTAGCTATCAATGAGAGAAGACACAAACAATTGGCAATCACCATTTAATCAGCAGAAGTGACTCTGCAACCTGTTTGCACTCTCACACTTCAAAAATGTTGATGTTTTTTATGATATTATGAAACTGAATGAATGAACCTGAGCAGTCATGAATCATTTTCAAATGATCTTTAATCACTCATATAAAAACGAAACATAGCTATAAAGAGAATTAAAAATCACAGTGATGCTAAAATGTAAAAAAAACTGTTATTAGCCACGAGTTATCAATATTATAATCACTTTGCCACTTAATCCTACTGTTAATGGACCAATCACAACAAGCCTAAAGAAGATAAGAGTGTGGATGGTCGCATCCACACTAATAATAAAGAACAGGATAACATAGTGTGGATGCTTCACAGCATCCACACAATGAATCACTTTTCATCTTGATGCCAACAGAAATAATCTCTTTTTCCATCAATCACACACATTGGACTAAATGGAAAAGCAGAACCGTCTCATTTGATGAGTAAAGCAGTGCTCGGAGCACTGTTATGGAAAAGGGACACTGACAAACACCTGTCCACCATAGCACGGCCGTACGTTAAGGGTAACTTCTGGGAAGAGTTAGCAGACTTAAGTGATTGTGTGTTACCCTGAAATAACTGCACATTCATGCTGAATGTTTAGTTGTGATTTCAGTCCCTGTTTAGCCTGAACTAGAAACCTGGACAAAGGCTGGAGTCATAAATGCAAATCTCTGCGTATGGATCAGAATCTCATTAGCTCCTTCTGTTTTCACATGGTCTCAGAGGGCATGGGGGCCTACTGTTCTCAAAATGTGGCTCCAACTGCAATTTTGTCATCATTTTTGTATTGTTCGACATTAATGGAGTCATCGCAGAAGTGTAAGTGACCTTTGCCCAGGGCAATAACACAACACCAGACCATGACAGACCCTGGCTTTTGGACTTGTTGCTGCTAACAGTCTGGATGGTCCTTTTGTCTTTGGTCCAGAGCACACGGCATTTATTCTTTCCAAAAAGTCCTGAAACACAGATTGGTCTGACCCACAGTGCACATTTCCACTGTGATGGTCCATCCCAGATGCCTCTGAGCCCAGAGCAGTTGACTTCTGGACACTGTTGACATAGAGGTTCCTTTTGGCACAGCACAGTTTTAACGCAGCATTTTGTAACTACGTATTGTAGTGCCTGACACAGGCATTCACATCTGTATTTTTCTCCACATCCTCTGGCCACAGTGCAGGAGGGAAAATATACCCACAAAACTGTGAACAGCCAAAAAATTCAGCTTTTACAATGGCACCGGCGGATGTCAGGCAAGCTCACATGAACGTGCAACTGCACGGAGATTGTGAGCATTCAAAGAGATCCTGAACTACTGTGTAAGGCTTTATATACTTTCCTTTACTTTACAAAAAAATCTCAGGAGCGAGAGTTTGTGAGACGTGTATGAACAAATTTGCTTTTGTATAGAAGTACAACACAGGAACACCTTGTTTTCTGAGCATTTGGTCACATTTAAGATGACAATTCACCGTTGTAACACTGTAGCTAGGTCAAAAAACACCAAAGTAAATTTGTATAGGTATTTGTATAACCTTTCAAGTAGTAACAAAAAAGATCCATAATTCTACCTCTTTGAAGTCAGTCGCTCCCTCTAAGCAGTTTTTCCATGTTTCGCATATGCTGTAAAATACAATACAGCTCAGTTAATATCAATGTAAATCTTTCAAAACTCTTCCAGATCAACTAGGTATTTTATTTTTTTATAATGTACAAAGAAATGCATATTTTTCTGTATCAACAAATATTTCATTCATTACAGAATCTTTAGTTTTTCCAAGCTCTATTCCAACACCAATAAAAGTGGAGTGAAGTCACATCTCTGATTTGTGATTGATGGCATCCTACATTTTACAGTTTTTCAAATTCATAACAGTTTTTGAATACACAGTCATAGTTAAGATAAATGAACACATTCAGTAACATGTTATGGTAAGGTACTTAACTGTACCTGTTAAATATGCGATCTGGGTGATCGTAGCGGCCATTCTGGAGACAAAGCATGTGCTCTGGAACTGCAGACAGAAGACAGATAAGGATTAACCATATCAGAGGGAAAACTCAAATTCATTTGCATAGAATAGAGTTATCAATCTGTTGACTTGAGAGAATCATAAGACTTGCAACTCGACTAACATCGGTGACTTGTGGCTTCAAACTTAGACTACAGCCCTTTGACTTCGGGTGACATGATACTGCCCCATGGCCCAAAATAGTGTTGTCAAAAATATCAGTATTTTGATACATATCGATTGTGAATATTTGAAAAAGTTTCCAAACTCATTTTGTGTAGTATGGATACAATGATATACAGTATAAGGGGAAGTTTAGGCCATACCGTAGCCTGGACCTCCCACATACAAATGTTTTCCTCTCACATACATATATTTTTCTATCACATATATACATGTTCACTTTCACATACAATACATATGCTTTCCTTCCACATGGAGTTGTATTAAGATTGTATTTAAACATCACCCCTTTGTTTTCGTTTGCATTCATTTTTTGTGTATTTTCTATATTTAGAGTATTTTTACTCTTCTCTTGTCATCCACCATGCTTCCATGTGTTTTACTCTACTGTTTCAGGAGGGGCAAATTCTAAATGTTCCCCATTCATTTTTAAAAGGGAAAAGCATGTCACATTCATATATGCAATATTACTTATTTTAAAAATGCTCAACCAATATTCAACCACTTAATGCAATGATTGTGGATTCTTCTATGCCCCAACATTACAGGCCTGTCTCTAAACTGCTGGTCATAGACAATATTTCTGTAAAAGCAGCTTCAAACCAGGTTTCTGATATTTTGATACAAGTGTTCATAACATTCTTAGCCCTGTGATAAGACTGGTGACCTGTCTCACTAAACGGGCACATCTTTGCACTAAGGTTTGACCCTTCATGTCTCCTACTCTCCCTAGGCTCAACTGTGTGTGCATGTGTGAAAGTGCAGCCCCTCCTCCTCTAAACAGAGACCAACCCAGGGGAAAATACAGTGGAAAAGCAAAGCAGGACGGCTTGCATCAGCCCACGAGCTTATACCGGATGACGGTTAAGTGAAGAAAGGGGTATACCACTTGTTATGTTCCGACAGCGGAAATGCAGCTTGAACGGCAGCTGAACAATCTCAGCTGGGAGCAGCTGAGTGGCTGTTCATCTAAAAAATGTCCATGCAGCTTTTGAAGAATCTGTGGCAATACACTGCTTCTCTAAAAACATATACTCCTCGACTTAACTGTTTCTAACAAAAAATGTTTTTGTTAGAAACAAAGAGGAAGTTAAACACCAAGCTGACAGCAGGCTTTTAGCCACCATCGGACCCCCGGTGAGCACCTGTCAGGGCTCATCTTCCCGGTATGTCCTGCACCATTGGCACTATTCAGACTGCGTTGGCGGCTTTTCAGCCAGTTTGGCATGTTGATCAGGTCTCACTGGCGAGGGAGAACACTCTGACTGGCTGGCCACCTTAGCAAATTAGTGCATGAGAAGTGAAATGCTCGGCAAAGCCCCTTCAGCCTGTGGCTGTAGTATCCATGATTTCACCCATTTAAGTGCGGCTTCTCCTTGTTTTTCACCTCCACAACCTCCTTTCTTCTTCCACAACAAAAAGACCAAGAGCAGAGAATGGCAGTGCCATTTGCAACTTCTTAGGCATATTCTCGATTTGAATCAGCTACAAACAGCAGCTGTTGTGAACAAGAGCTAGTTTCTTGGCAGCTTATAGTGACAAATACATATACCGCCACCTGCTGATAGAGGGAGTTACTGCCCTCACGCAGCCAGAGAAAATACATGCTAGTCGGCCGTTGGTTGTAGTCTGTGTGGTGTGTTTAAGTACCACTTTTTCACCCCAACTGCTTTCACTGCTAGCATCCACACTATGCTTTCCTGTTCTCTATTTATTTTGCATCAGCAGTCATCCAGACTGCTTTGCCAATGTAGTGAGGGAGAGATGGGGGAGCCTTACCTCATCACAGTTCTTTCTCAACGTGTGGTCACATAACTCAACCAATGATTAAACAATTTATTCTATCAATATTTTGATATTTTTTCTGCTTCCTGTTTTGTCAATATTCTATTTACCTTTAACCTTTTTAAGCATTACTTATGAACCCTCCACTTCTTAAGCTAATTAACTTGTGTGCATAATACAGGCACACATACAGTTGTTCAGAACGTTCAGCTACAAAAACCATTCAAATATTAAAGGATTTGCCAGTAGAAATGGTGCTAAATATTATTAAAAGAATTATAGCCTATGAATATTCATAAGTTACGAACTACATTTTATAGTACATTTAGTGCAGTTTTATAATGCTCAAGTCTTTAAAGCTGCATTATAATCAATCTCACTAAGAACAATTGGCATATTTCCTGAATATGTAACGTTCAAACTGTGACCAATAACAATACAAGAAGTGACCATTCATAGTTCATGGCTTGGCCTTCAAATTGTTTTAAAAAATTTACACTCATCGCAGTAATGTACAGAATACCTGTATATTTCAGGCCTTATTCACAACTTGACAGTTGTCTTCATGTCAGTAACACTTTAAATGAACTGTGTAGCTAGCGATATGGAACCCTCACCTTACCTTTAATTGTCTTACATTAGATTAGTAAACAGAAAAACACAGGCAGAATGGTTCAAATGAAAATAAAAGGAATGAATTGTTCAAGAAAAAAAATGGATGAAAGTGCTTTAACTAACACACCCCTGGCTTTTCAAGTAGCTTGTGAACCACTGGTTTAACGTGTCTGGAAACAAATTGGTGTGAGGGTAGCATTACAGCTGTGCCATAGTGGGGCAGAGACCAATAAAGAAAAATGGTGAGTGTACAGAGGAGGCAATGAGACTTTGAACATGATTTTGCAGCTGTGAAAAGTCAAAGTCAAAGTGTTTGTCATATGCACAGTATGGAAACGTGTTTCCCTGTACAATGAAATTCCTACTTGGTCGTCAACATGAATGCCACACAATACAAATGACATATAAAGTTGATAATTAAGTAACAAAAAATCTATGGCACGTTAAAACAGTAAGTGAACAGATATAATACAAATATATAAGAACAGAATAAAAGAATGTATGCTACATAGCAGCTGTATGTGCAGTAGTCAACAGTCAATGTGCAATATATGTGCAAACTAAGAATGTAAACAGTACAGGTCGTCAGTACATGACGTATTTCCTGGTAATAAACTCCTGTCCGCTGTTTAGGAGTCTGATTTCAGAGGAAAAGAAACAGTTTTTAGGTCTAGAGGTCTTGCATGTCACCCTTGTGAACCTTTGCTCCAAAAGTAGGGACTGAACAGTCTGTGCTGGGGGTGAGTGGGGTCTGCGAGGATGGAGGCAGCTCTCCTACGCACCCTGCAGTGGTAAATGCTCTGCAGAGAGGGCAGTGGAGTCCTGGTGATCTTCTCAGCAGTCTTTACCACTCTCTGCAGGCACTTGCGGTCCATAGCAGTAGTGCTGCCGTACCAGACAGTGATCTGTAGAAGTTGCAAAGGATCCTAGGTGACATGCCAAACCTCCTCAGCCTCCTCAGGAAGTACAGCTGCCATTGGGCCTTCTTGACCAGCTGTGTGTTGTTAAGTGTCCAAGTGAGGTCCTCACTGATGTGGACACCCAGGTATTTGAAGCTGCTCACCCTCTACACCTCAAGCCCCCGGATGAACAGCGACCGATGAGATCTCCTCTCCTTCCTCATGTCCACTATCATCTCCTTCGTCTTGTCCGTGTTGAGGCTGAGATTATTGTCCTTGCACCATGACACCAGACCGGCCACCTCCCTCCTGTAGGCTGCTTTGTTGCTGCTAGTGATGCGTCGTATCACTGTTGTGTTATTCGTGAACTTTAGGATAATGTTGTCCTTGTAGGGGGATCGGTTGGAGGTCTCAAAGTGGGTGTAGAAGGTGTTGAGGTCATCCGGGAGGCTTTCTGTGGATCTGATGATGCTGGTGGTGGTGGTCCTGTAGTATGTGATGTGCTGCAGGCCTTGCCACATCTGTCTGGAATCAGCAGTAAAATAGAAGCCGTTCAGTTTCTCTCTGTACTGCCTCTTGGCCACAGTGATGGCTTTGTTCACTCTGTATGTCGCAGCTTTGTACTCCATCCCATTGCCTGAACTGAATGCAAGAGAGCAAGTGCATAGCATGGGGCGTACTTGACTGTTTATCCAGGGCTTCTGGTTGGAGAACACAAAGACATTCTGGAAAGTTTAACTATGAACTGGAGAGATGACAAAGGACCTGATATAAACAATTAATGTAAATATCACTATGTAAGCCATGCCATGTTCAAAAATATGCTTCAGTGAAACTACAGCTGATGTTGTCATTTTCTGAACCTTGTGGATTGTACCACTCCTCTGTTTCATGTTGTGTGCTCTATGTACACTAGATTGTCAGCTGCACTTGATGCTCTGCGATAACTGTTCCATCTAGCTATTTTATTGTCCATTTTGCGTCCATGCTTAGTGACATGTGCACAGTCAGTCTGTTCATCTCATCCTTCAGCTATTTCAACAATGAATTTCAGCCATTTCTTCTCATCCTTCAGCTGTTTCAGCAATTGATTTCAAGCATTTTCAGGGCAATCCTTCTGCTGATTCGCATCCACACGCATTTTGGAAAGGAAATGCATTTTTCTAGTTGTATGAGTGCTGATTCAGCATCCATACTATGTTATCCTGTTCTTTATTGTATGGATGCTGAAAAGCAGAAGAAATCAGAAAAATAATAATAATAATAAAAAACAGGACAACATAGTATGGATGCTGAATACTATGTTATCCTGTTCTTTATTATAATTATTATTTTTCTGATTTCTTTCGTCCGTTTTTCAGCACTTAACTACTTCAGCAGACTTTGAGCTAGAAAAACCATTCTGGTAACAAAATATTCAGCTTTTTAAGGACATTTATGCTTCTTTTCAGAATTTTTCTGAACTTCATGCTTTTTAAACTAACTTTCTTTCAGCAAAATTTTGCCCATTCAAATGAATGG